CGAGCTTCTTCGATGGGCCAGTCACTGTGCCTCCCCTCCGGTCCCCTCCCCCTATGAACATCAGCAGTCTCTGCTCACACTCGGGGGGACCAACGGCATATCTCTAGGTGGCGGGCGCCAAGCTTGCCCAGGAAGGTACATGAGGCCAATGGGGATTGAACCCAAGACCTCCTGAATGCCACTTGCGTGCCTTACCAACTGAGCTAGGCCGCTGGATCGTCAGTTTTTTTTTTTTGGCATTTTTATGATTTTTTTTTTTGGCGTTTTTTTTTCCTCCTTTTTCGTGCGGCCACGTCCGCGGCTGGCGATGGCCGTGATGGGCCACAGTCAAAAAAAAAAGAAAAAAAAGAAAACCACAACCGCCTTAATGGAACCCACGCCCGTGGCTGGCGATGGCCGTGATGGGCCACAGTCAAAAAAAAAGAAAAAAAAGAAAACCACAACCGCCTTAACGAAAACCGCCACCCTGACACCACTGCCGTCCTGAGTTACAACCGCCTTTTCAAACTCAGGCCATGACAAAGTTGCCGACTCATGTTTTTTCTGCCCATTACAAACTCCCATGTGATGTAAACGTACTTCCCTCAAAAAAAAAAGAGCAAGAAAGAAAATCAGATTGGTGAAATCTCACTTCTTTCAAAAGACAAATTGCAAAACGTACTTCTCATGTGTGAACTCTCATGTGAATGTGTTCACACATGTGAATGTTCATTGATGTATGCGAGGTTGAACTTGACAAGTACTTGGCTCAAACAATGGCAAAAAATGGGAAAAAATGGCAAAAATGTGCCAGAGTGGAAAGCAATGGTGCTTCCCAGCCTATTTGCTGCTATGCACTCATGTCTGCCCTGTTTTTTCCCCTTCTTCTTCTTTTTTTTTTGTTCCTTTTTGAAGAAAAGGGCGATGGACTTGGGATATCTTCATTTGATTGGACTGGCCCTAGGTAATTCAGAATGATTTATTCCACTCATTGAGGTCCAGCAGGATTCGAAGTCAGGTCTGTATTTCAACAGTTCATGGGTGTACCAACTGAGCTAGGCTCATGTCCAACCTGTTGTTTTCCAATGTTTTCACTACATATATAACTATCGCTAATTTTTGGCCTGTGACAAGCAGACGACCAGGGCCCTCCGATTTTACACTCTGCGACGGTCCCGATCGTCTGCTGATCGTTTTCTCTTAGAAGTTGAACTGTCGCACGTGGTGCCGGGCTTGCATGCCAGCACCGGTACCATGCGCGGTACCGGGTCCACGCGCCTGTGCGGGTACTGTCGCATGTTACTGGGCCAGCGCCGGAACCGCGCACGGTACTGGGGCAGTGTGTGTACCATCGCACGTTACTGGGCCAGCGCTGGTACCGTGCGTGATACGGGGGCAGTGTGTGGTTACAATGCATGACAACAAACTTTTTTCTACGGCGACTGGACTGTAGACGGTCTAAGCTACTCGACAACGTTGTGGACTGCCCTACTCTACGCTACTCTAAGCTCTGCGTAGGCAGGCTAACCTACTCGGCGACGTTGTGGACTGCCCTACTCTATGCTACTCTAAGCTCTACTCTTCGCGTTCGACACACGCATGCGCGTGCACACACACACACACACACACACACACTGAGTGATGTGGTGAGTCCTTATTGCATCGTGGGCAGACTGTCGGGGCTCAGCCTCCTGATGAGTAGGTGAGAGTCTGATGAAACAGTCTGGCACAGTCCTCTCTCTCTCTCTGTGACTCACACATGCACAGAAAGAGATTGTTGCTCCTAAGCTTTTTGCCGTGCTGGAGATTGGGCTGCGGATCGGGACGGGCTCTGCATCGAGAAGGTTGGACGCTGATGCTTGGGCTGTACATTAGAGTGCGCCAGCATGACTGAAGGTGAGTTATTTCGTGCTTTTTGTTTGTGTGTTTGTGTGTTTGTGTGTGCATGTGCGACCCACATCGCTCGACGTTGTTACTCCACTGTATACTGCGACGCTCAACTTCGATGCTGCTACTCTACTCTACGCCTCTACTCTATGCTACGATGCTCGACTTGAACTATGCTACTCTGCTCTGTGCTGCAACGCCACGCTCAACGGTGTTCGCTACTCTATGGTGTGCGAGAGAGAGCGGGATAGCGGGAGCGGGAGTGGCACACGCTAAAGAGGGGGAAGCGGAGGAGGCGATGGGCGCCGGATGGAGCAAGAGAGAGAGAGAGAGAGAGAGAGAGAGAGAGAGAGAGAGAGAGAGAGAGAGAGAGAGAGAGAGAGAGAGA